AGAATTATCTTTCCCTATATTCCTATTACCTTAGTCAGCACTCTGCTTAAAACCATACAGGGCTGTTTTCTGCACTGAGAAAAGAAGTGCTATGTGTGATGAAATGGTAAAATAAACATTCATTTTCTTGGCTCTCCTCCATAATACGTATTCCACTTCAAATTAAAAATTAAATTGAGCCTCTTGGTGTGACTGTTCAAGCATCTTGCCCAGCCATCCGTCTCCCAGCTGTGCAGTGTGCCACTTGGATCTCGCTGCCAAGTGTAAGCACTTGAACAATCCAAGCCAGGTGATTACAGCATAAAGACTCTTTTAAGTTGTATTATGCTTTGAGTATTTTTTTTATGTAGACGATGCTTAATTTATTCATTTCAGGGCTGTATATTTGCAGGTTCCAACTCTGTTTAATAGATAAGTTACATTGTTATATAAAGAGCTTGGAAGCCGAGAGCCTCACAGCGTGAGTGACAGAGCCAGGAACAAAATTAAGGCACTCCTTTAGAATCCTAAATTCATCCCACAGCCCTTCCTGCTTTTACTGTATTATAGAGCTAATATTTTCACCTTCTAACCCATTATGCCGGCCCCTTGTTTATAGCACTCATAATCCCCTAGGATACCTTTTGAAAAGTTTTAACCTGTACTTGGTCTCTGACTGTGTAGTAAGGAAAGGTAAAAGCATAAAAGCAAAGCAGTGTGTTTTACATAAGCTCTTTCAAAAGATTTTAGGTTAAAATTTTCCTTGATTCAAAGTCTGCATGATTTCTTTCTGCTGTACGATGTTAAAATGTTCCTGTTTGTATGTCTGTATTTTGCAGTATTTGCTTTAAAGTCTTTGTCCTCTTAGAAAAGTAAGATAATGAACAGATTATATTGCTCCATTTCAAGGAAGGAAACAACAAAGAAAAGCCAACTGGAACACCGGATTATATAAATAAAGGCAATTTTTACTGACAGGGTTCTGATCCAAATATTTATTTATTTCCTAACTCATACAAAATTGATGCTTGTAGAGGTATTAGGTTAAAAGGGTTGGAAAATTAATTCTTCTAATCATCCACAGAGAACATATAGTACTGATGAAGCAATGAAAACCTCTTTGACTTGAATAAGAAATACATTACATATAATTTACAGAAATAAGATCCAGTGTCATGTAGAAAATAACATTTTAGAGCAACAGGATCAGCAAGGACTTTGATACTTGTCTCTGCTGTGGCTGGAATGGGTCGCCCTTCACCCAGCTCCATCCAGTGGAAGGGGAGGCTTCCCTTCCACAGCTCCAGACAAGAAAGCCAACTGCTTCCATTGCCAGGCATTTCACCTGTTTGCCTGCCAGTCACCTCTCTTCTCAAGGCTCATACACCATCCAGTTCTTGCAAGTTCGTAACACGTTTTCTACACTAATGAGTTTGGCTGGATTCAGACCAGAGACCTACATCTAAAAGACTAAGAACAGAAGGAGGCTCTGTTCTACTAGGAATTTATTTCGCAATCAGATGGAAAACTTGGCTTAGGGGAAAAAATGTTAGATACCTGAAAAAAATGAGCAAGTCAATCCTGGATAAAAGTAGTTCTTTCTAACTTTTAATATAAATGAAAGTGCTATTAAAGGTTTGTATATGTGTCATGCCAAATTCTATAGAGATGAGAAATTAAATGAAATGGTATCTAAGTCCTTATAAATTTCGCTATTTACACAGAAGAGGAAAAATAATATTTCCTACATCATTTGTCATGTTTCCCTTCATATCTTGCATACTCGTTAAAATGTAGGGTTTCAAGTACCCATAGAAAAAATATGAACGTGCAGAGAGAATAACCACAAGAAAGGAAAAAAAGCAACCGACTCCTATAACTGCATTTAAAATAACTCACTCCTCTCTAAAGAGTCAAATCATGTTCTTTTTTCCTCCCTACATAAAGGTTGCACTCATATTCATAGTAACAGAAGAAAAAAAAGCATAGTTGCTTCGTAACACTGGACACAGCTTTCCAGAAACAAGATAGCAATTACTCAGAAATTCTATGGAAAACATTAATCACAGAGTAACTTGCTATTTACATTAAAGATGCAGCCTCTAAAATTAACCTTAAATTTAAAAAAAAGAGCTTTTTTTTTTTTTGTCATAGGATAGTTTTGTCAATAATGTGAAGTCTCTGTTCTTTGCTTTTTGTCCAGCATTTCTTTTGAGATATATATCTATAAATTTACAGATATACATCTGAGAGAGATGTATCAAAAGTTAAAACGTGTCTGGATGGAGAGCCCGGCCAATTTAATCTGAAACCACATTTGCAGTAGACAAGCCCCCAGTGAAAAGAATGCCGGCATGATGAATTTGAATGAAATGACATTCCCTGTCCATGATCCGCGTAGGAACCTCAGTGCCTCAGTCCACAGAAGCTGGGCTAACAGGAGCAGTGCAGGTCCCCGGTGCCAGCAGGCTGAAGCACCTGGCCCTCGTGGGAGGCAGCGTTTTCCATCCCCGTAGAGACTGCTAGGACAGGTGCAGAGCAGGGCCAGCGGCGATGTGGAGAGCTGTCACCCTCTGTCTGGACTACAGATGGGATCCCAGTCCCTTGGCAGTCAGTGCAAGCCACTCCTGTTGATGCCAGCGGGAGCCGGACGAATCCCCAGGGCAGCAGCAGGCTCTGAGGACAGGAGTGCAGGACGAGGCATCACTGATGCTCCAGTGCAGTCCCAGCATGGCCATCACATTGCCCATCGGCTCTGCTCCCACTAGGCTCTACAAAAGGAGTCACTGCTGCCGTGCTTCTTCCACGGAACAACGCCTGGACCAGACAGGAACTATTGAGCTCCACAGCACTTCTTATTCTTACACATGCAGGATGCTAGTGGCCAACCAGCTCCAAATCAGAACCAGGAAAATCCAGCCGGAGCATGTGCCCCCTAAGAGAGCAAAGACAGTCTGTGCTTCCATCAGTCAGCACTCAGCTGCCCAGTTGTCATTGTCACTCGTCGAAACCAGTGCAAACTCACAGGAAAAAGAATGTCCGCATCAAGAGGGTAAAAATCTTTCCTCGTGTTCAAGAAAGCTACAAGCATTTACCCGGCATCTCTATCAAATATCGTAGAAAAGGTTACACAAAAATATTTAAATATATGGATACAGATACATAGATATTACACTTGCATAAAGTATGTATTTTCAAAACCCTTTGGGCAGTTTCACATTTAGCTGAAAATGTATGCTTTAGAAATATGAACAATTTCCTACTCTTTTCTAGTTTAAGTAGGAGGGGGAGGGGAAAGAAGCATCAGCCTTATTAATACTGAATGCTAAGTGCAGAAGTTTAGCTGTAGCTGTAGGGTTTTGAAGCAATTGATTTGACAGAACCTCCAAGCATAAACTCTGTTTTAAAAATCCACATCTATTCCCTAGATTGCTTATTGTTTCATGAAAATGAAAACCTACGTGTCCTGCTTGTATCAGCTAGATCTCCTGAGACCGTTCAATTAAACCTCATAAGCTTGCAATACCTCAAGATAGGGCTGTGTACTGGGAATATGCATGAACCTTATTGCAGTAATTCTGTGTGATAATAGGAATTTACAACTTCTCATATCTTGTCTAATTTAAGTTTAGAAATAAAAAACCTTAAATGACACCACAAGAAGCTCACAGTTCTGCAAAAAATTAAAGTCAGTATGAAATTTTACTAATAGACCATATAATTTACACAGATTTACATACAGAGATATTAAAATATTAAATCAAAGCTAATTAACAAAGGATAGAGTTTTACATGATAATATTTTAACTCTAGTCACACTTTCGCAACTACTTTCAGTGGCATGAGATTATATAAATAATACATATACCTGTATATCCATTATATATATATCAAGATATATATATATTTCTCCATCCTTCTTTTTTTTTTTTCTTCAAAAATAGGGCAATTTTATAACTGCAATGAGATGTGACAAGCAGTACACTTCTGGGGAATTATTGCATGCCTTGAGTGCATAAGGCAGAAGAAAGAGTATCTGACTTCAGACACTAAAGAAGTGGAATCATCAACCAGAAATGCACTGGAGTGATTTGGAACATCTTATTGCTTTTATAAAACTCCAAATTATACACTGTTGGTCTGGCATGGGAGGGGGGGC